ATAGATATAGATATAAAATGTCAAAAGCATATGAGATCATTGCCGATGACTCCCATTTTAATATGGGGAGCACAAAGAGAAACATGTTTGTTTCTAGTGGCGTATGTCCATGTGTTTATGAATAAAATCCATTAGTCTTGAACAGTACTTCGTTTTTTACAAAAGAGAAATGAAGGTGTGAGTGTACAGCTGAAAATCATTGCCATGGTCATTTTGAGCTAATAATCTCAAGGGAAAAACAAGAAAACTCTCTTCAGTCTTCTGTTAAACTGTTTGTGATACATCCCAGGGTGTGTAGATTTCAAAGCCTTGGGAGATGTAATAATCTTTTGCCTCTGCCACCTTTTGCTCTCTGTGTAATAGTACCAGACAGTGTCACTTTTATTAGCTGAATTTGTGGAGCTGAACTTTTCCCAGTAGACAGAGCGCCTCATAAAAAGATTCAAGATGCCCGGTTAAGCTTCTTCCAGATTGTTTCCAATGAACTGCACAAAAAGGCAGCAAAAGGAAGGCTCTAATAAACTATGCTATTGGGCTATTCTGACACTTTTCTACCACTGTGGAAAAAGTTATAAAATGTCTTTTCTTTTTTGGTTCTCAGATGAGTATAGGATCAAACCAGTGGAAGAGGTCAAATACATGAAAAATGGGGCTGAAGATGAGCAGAAAATAGCAGCCAGGAACCAAGAAAACTTGGTAAGAATCTAATTTATCATGTAACAATGAATTTTGGGGACACCTTTGTAATAAAATCTGTACTGCATGTTTAAACTGCACCTTACACAATTGAACGTTGATTTCTTGAAAATGTTGTAGCTATTTATACCTTGCCTGGAAGCTGTACAATTGCTCCTGTATCCTGTTTGTCTCTGAATAAGCCCTTCTGTAATCTTGATAAAGAATGCCCCAGGGGAATTACAGCAACATTATTAATGTTTTAAAATAGTTTAATTCAAAGGGAAAAAACATAAAGTACATTTGAGATTTATGGAGATTTTTTGTTTTTGTTTTTTTCCCTTTTCTCCATCTTTTTAAACTCTTATCCATCTCAACTTGAATGGTTAAAAGTTTTGGGTTTCAGGACACACAGTGTGGTTGAGGAAATTGCCTTTTAAGGGAAAATAATGTACTTTTAAGGTAGATGTCAATCCAAACAATCAGTATTTCACATTCATAATGTAGGTTTTGAGTTAATGTGAGAATTGCAATGATCTAAACCAAGAGTTAGAAGCCTCTTTCTTTAATATGAATTGTAAGATTGTTTCTAGCAAATAGTTTGCTAATTTTCATATGAACTTATTTCTTAATGTGCATTTCTTCAGCTGAGTTGGAGCAAAATTGTTTCCCTGTTTTATTTTTGGATTAATTACTTGCTGTGTTTTTTGAGGTTTTTTCATATTGGAGTGAATGTATTTCTTAGACGCTTTCAATGCCATAAAATGGTCTCCCTAGACTTAAGCTGTATTTTCCATTATGTGTTTTGTTTTTGTTTTTTGTGTTTGTTAATGGTGTAGCAGAGGGGGTTGACAGAGTATTATTCAGTGCTCATAAAATTTATGGCTGTCATTTTTCATGATACAGTGATGAGCATAATAGGATAATTCTTTGCCTCTCTCCTTTTGTGGGGGAGCATGTTGCATCTGTATGATAAGCATTGGACTATGAACCACAAGGTCTGTGGCTCGAGCCTACCAGCTGCTCTGCAGGAGAAAGATGAGGGTTTCTGCTCCCTCAAAGATGTACAGCTTTAGAAACCCTATGCAGGGTCACTGTGAGTCAGAACCAACTCCAAGGCACTTAGCGACAACAACAGCCATCCTTTTGTGAGCTTACTGTCTACAGTTTAAAATACTGCAGTATCAACAACTGGATATTCTAGACTTTCTTAAAGTAGTGAAAATAACTGTACAAAATAAAATTTCACTTCATAAATAGAATTTGGATTTTCAACTATTACAGAGATTCATTGTACCTACATGGTGATATTTACTTTGAATAAATAAATAGAAGACCAGAGTAGTTGAAGTATCAGTGGTCCTTTTTCTACTTTGTTTTCTTGAAAAGCAGAGTTTGTCCTTGCTTGATATAGCTATAAATCTCATTTTCAATAATAACAGTAAGTCTGTCAAAAACTAGGACTTTGTATCTTTGTTCTTTGTATCCACTTTGCATGCGTGTATCTTTGGAGCCTAAAGGAAGCAGTAACTTTTATTAGCTCATGAGCTTTTTCTCATTGTGCTCTCATCATAGTTAGGGCCAATACAACTTTCTCTTTCTCTGTCAGTTCCCCAATCTATCAACTTCTTGGTGCCAATGTAGAATCCTTTCTAGCTCTGTGATCACAATTAGTAGATGGAATAGCAATTCAAAGGAGAGAAATTCCTGGTCATTTTTACTAATTTGTTGATTATCTGTTACAACCCTAAATCCCTTACTCTGCTTCCCAATTGGGGCCCATGCTCCTAATACGGGTATTAAAGTGAAGAAGTTTGCATACGGAATGGAGAGTAAATGGCTGTCCTTGATTTTGCGATTTCTAGAATGCTTTCCAAAATTAAATGATTTTCAGCTATCTGGTAGTGTGTTATCTTTGTCACCTACTGATCCTATAAAGTGCATAATCAAATATTGACCATGCATGTTTGAGAAAACAAATAAGCCTCATAAACTTAAAGCTTACATTGGGATGTGGATGCAATGGATCTAATCATTCTTTACATTTACATTGTATAAAATAATTCAGGAGTCAAAAAATTATTATGTTACAAAGAATGATTTTTAAATGTGAGTCAAAGTATTTTTTTAAATCAACTTACTGAGATTAAGGTGCTCAGCAAATATCAGCAGACCAGTATAGCATGAAGGTTAGAATGATGAGGTTTGGAGGCAAATCTTGCCTGGGTTCTAATCTCAGCTTTGCTACTTGGTAACTGCATGATTACTCAATTTCATTAAACCTTCCATCAATCAAATAGGGGAAAGGATGGTGCCTCTGTTGTGAGGATTACATGCGATGATACTTGTAAGACATTTAGTACTGTGCCTAGTGCAGGATAAGCATCTAATAAGAGTTAGATTTTCCTTACCAAAGGAAAGAATAGCATCTGTGGCTGTTTTTTGTTTTTGTTTTTTCATTTCTGTTAATCAGTGACAGAGTTCTAAAATTAATGTTTCAGGTTAATCCCTTGTTACATGTATTCTGAAAACTTGTACTCTGCAACTATGAAATTATTTAAACAAGTATGTTTTGAACACTTAACATGTACAAGGTTGTTGTTGTTGTTGTTGTTAAGTGCCGTCGAGTCGGTTCTGACCCATAGCGACCCTGTACAGGGTTTCCGAGGGTGTACAAGGTACTTGTTATTAAATGCTGTCGAATGGGATCCAATTCATAGTGACCCTATATAAGGTTTCCTAGAAGTGACTGCTGGGTGTGAGCTGCTCACCTTTTGGTTAACAGTCCAGCGCTTATCCTATGGTGGTTGGTGGTTATGTGCCGTGGAGTTGGATCTGACTCACTGCAACCCTGTACAGGGTTTCCGAGGCTGTAATTCTTTACGGGAGCAGAAAGTCTCATCTTTCTCCTGCAGAACCGCTGATAGTTTCGAACTTCCGACCTTGCGGTCTGCAGTCCGATTCATAACCCCTACACTACTAGAGCTCCTATGGTACTACACTAGAACTCCCAAGATACTGTTGTTGCTGTTGTTGTTAAGTGCTGTTGAGTTGGCTGCAACTCATCGTGACCCTGTATAGGATTTCTAAGGAGCTACTGGTAGGTTTGAACTGCCGACCTTGTGATTAGTAGTCCAGTGCTTATCCTACAGTGTCACACCAGGGCTCCCAAGATACTAGATATTGAGAAATCTCATGAGGGTTCTAAAAATTAAATCCTCAAGGTGCTTACAGTAAAGTTGGGAGCACTGTTCAGTGCAACAAATATTTATTGATTATCTCACATGTGTGCAAGGCACAGTACTAGAAACACAAATATTAGGAAACCACAGACCCACACCTCAAGGCACCTGTTATTTCAGGAGGCAGAGTAAGTACCAAATGACTATAAATTAAATAGGGTTAGATGATTCAAAGAAAGAAATTCAAAGTGCTGAATGCATTCAAAGGAGGCACATTGTGTGTCTGGTTGACTGTCTGGATCTGCTTCATGAAACAGCTGGTGTGCATGATCGGCCTCAGAGAATGGGATGAGGGAGCTTGTCACAAGCAGGAGTAACAGAAATGGAAAACACATAATGCATTTCATAAGAAGCCCCATTAGACTGGGGAGTTGGGGAAAGGGGAGAATATGTCCAGTAGGGAAGCAGTAAAAAGTTAGAACAGAATATACATGTGGTTATATAGAGAGCTTTGATATCCAGACTCAGAAATCTGAAATTAATTCAGTAGAACAGAAGTAGTCTTGGCAAGTTTAAAAGTGAGGGATTGGCAGAATGAGGTTATAATTCAGGGAAGTTTATGTGGCAGCAGCAGTTGTAATGTGGACTGGTGTGGGTAACCCAGATAGGAGACTATTCATAACAGTTTTGCAAAGTCAGTGAGGCCTGAACTTTGAGAGAGAATACAGAAAGTTTGAGAGAACTAAGGCAGGGAGAATACACTAAGTTTGGGTGGAATACAGAAGTTAAAGCAATAAAACTGAGAACTAATTACGTATTAAAAGAAGACAGAACAATCAGGAGACATTGACAATCTGACCGAGATCCTGCCTTTGGAAGATAACTGTCTGGAAGCAGATAGAAGGCATGTGGCCTATATGACCATCCTTCAAGGTGCAGTCTGAAGCAGAGGTTAGTTGTGAGCAAGCTAAGCTTTAGAACATCCTTTAGAACATTATGTCTACCAATGTGTGGAAATGAAGGTCTGGAGCTGAGCTCTAGTAGGTGATTGGTATATCTTAGTTTGTCAAATGAATGAGAGTAGGTGGATTTACAGATTTACATTTACAATTACATTTAGCAGCCAAGTGCTTCACCACTTGGCTGCTAACTGCAAGGGTAATGGAGCCTACCAGCTGCTTTATGGTACAAAGATGAGACAAGCTACTTCCATAAAGATTGGTGTTGTAGTGATTACTAAGTGCCCTCGAGTCAGTTCCAACTCATAGTGACCCTGGATAGGTGTGGCTGGTGAGTCTGAACTGCCAACCTTATGATCGAGTACTTATCCTACAGTGACACACCAGGACTCATGCATGAAGATTACGGCCTTAGAAACACTTCTCCTGTATTCTGCTAGGGTCACTTTGAGGTTAAAAATGACTTGGTAGCAACAGCTTGTTTTTTTGTTTGTTTGTTTTTTTGATAGCCAAACAGGGAGGCTTTCTTCTCGTTCTTTTTTCAAACCAGACATACAAAACATTAGTTAGAAAGAAAAAAAGTAGTTGATTTCATTACATTAAAATGAAATACTTCTGTAAAAGAGAATAGCTTAGTAAAAACATTTTAAAAGTCAATAGGCATGACTAATTCCAACTGTCACAACTATGAAGGTATAAGTTTTGTAACAAAAATGGGGGAGTAGTTAATACTACAGGCCAGGAACAGAAGACCCTAAGACCATCCAGGGAGAAGAGCATGAGTGGAATGCGGGGCCCTATCCAGAGAAGCAGTGACACCAGACATGGAGGCAGAGGTGAGGACATGGAGAGAGGGAGCAGCTGAGGACTCTAGACTCAT